AAACAAAAAAAAAAAAAAAAACAACCCACAAATAGAAGGCCAAAGCAATGATAAGCAAAAAATAATACAAAAGGATACATACATTAAAACCTTGGATTATGAGTAACTTGTCCTGCTAGTATTCTGCAAGACAAGTAAATGTTTCTAATAAAATTTGATAAACAAGCGATGTCTCGCACATGACGTGATATCACATGATCACCACTGAGCCAACAGTTCTCTCCACACCCCCCGCCAGTATTGTGATGATCATTTCCCAGCAGCAAAGCATAAAAAAGGACCCAGGGATTTAGTTTAGTGGTTCTGCTGCCTGCCTTGCAAGCGCAAAGGACTGAGTTCGATCCCCAGTACCACCAAAAGAAAAAAAAAAGGTTATGGAGAAGATCTTGGGAAAAGATCCAGTATGCAGAGGAGAAAAGGGTGGAGGAGGCCTTTTCTTCAAATTATATTAGGGAGATGTGTAAAATGTAGGAAACAGCCAAAAATTTGTAGAAAAGCACCACCTGAATAAGGCTATAGCATTTAGGGCCCAAGATTTCTCAGTGGTGCTGCGCCTTTCTCGACAGCTCAAGGTCCTGAGTTCATCCCTGGTAGCAGTGTGAGCAATAAATCGGTTTAACAATGCAATGTCACCTTTCCTCAGAATATTCAGAAGGAGGTAAAAGCAAGTGTCTTTGGGAAGGTTCCTTGTTAACGGTGCATGAAAAGAAAAAGATTCCATTAAGCCAATAGATAGCAGTGGTTCCATCAGTGACAGTGAAAGTAATCCTACACAATAACCCTCCTCTCTTTTGGCCCCTCACATCAGTCACAAAGCTTTTCAAGGGAAGGGCAGGTCGCAGGTCAATTTGTTAATTTTTCTCTATATTTTGTATTTTCTTTATTATTTTGTATTATTTTACAGTATTATAATCATTTTATACAAATAATTTTCAGTTGTGGAATGGATCATCTGAGTTTCCATTATTTCTTTTGGGGAAATTCACTTTGATATACAAATGCTCTAGATTACAAGCATGTTTCCAGAATGAATTATGCTCATAAACCAAGGTTTTATTGTACCTAACTGCTATACTTGGAGGGGGGTATTGGCTGGGAAAAACACAATGCAGTCTTTTAGGGTAATGGAGACATTCAATGTCTTGATCCGTGTAGTAGTTATGTGGATATAAATAGCTGTAAAAATTCATCCAGTTAGGACTGGGTATTTAGCTCAGTGGTATCATGCCTAGCTCACAAGCAAAAGGTCCTGAGTTTGATCCCCGGTACCAAAAAAAAAAAAATTTTTAATCTAGCTATATATACTTGAGCCATGTATTCTGATATATACAGTGAATGCTTAAATTTTAAAAACCTATTACACTAAAAGATATATTGCCATTAATCCCCCTTCACTTTAAACATATTTATCTCGTTCTTGACACTTAAAAAAAAATTTTTTTTTTTTTGTACCTGGGATTGAATTCAGGACCTTGCGCTTACCAGGCAGGCTGCCACTGGGGTAAATACCTCCCCTCCCTTTTTTAGACAGGATCTCTCTATGTAATTCAGGCTGGACTTAAACTTGTGGCAATCTTCCTGCCTCAGCATCCTGAGTGCTGGGGTTACAGATGTGTGCCATCAGACCTGGCTTTGTTCTTGTCACTTTCTGAAGCAGTTCTGGAGGTCCTCTTTTATGAATGTCTTTATGGTGACTATGGTGAATGTTGCTGCCAAAGTTCTACCTAATGAAAGGCAGGCTTGTAAAGACATTATAGTGTGTCTTCACCTACCTTATTCACCAGATCTGGCACCATGAGACTTTTGTCTCCTCTCCCAAATCAAAATGACTACAAAAGGCAAACATTTCAAATTGATTCAGAATATCCACACAGGCAGTAACTAAAGACACTCATGAGAAAGAGCTTCCAGAACTGCTTCAGAAAGTGGTAAGAATACTGGGATGTGTGTTTCAAGTGAGGGAGAGTATTTTGAGTGGGATCAATGGTACTTTATCTTTTACTGTAATAATTTTTTTAAAAAATTTAAACAGATGTACTTTTTCATCACACCTTGTATGTACTGAATACCTCAAAAAATTAACAAGAGACAGACAACAACAGTGACAGAAAATGAGTGTTAAAGTTCTGATAGGAGACCCAGACATCAGAGATGGTAAGCACGGGGGAAGAAGCCCACTGAAGTCACCCTGCTCCCATTTTGCCAGTGGGACAAGGCCGGCTAAGGTCAGGAGCATAGAGACCTCAGCACAACCCAGTCAAGTAAGGAAGAAGGCCGCACAGGAGAGGCACCCCGCAGATGGGCAGCAGCCAGGATCACTGCCATCCACACAAACAACTATGCCCCTTACCCATCAGGCCTGTGTGGGCAGCACCGGTCCAACAAGACCTGGCCCACAGCAGAGCCACAGGCAGTCAAGGGACCAAAGCAGCTCTTACTTGGAATGGTCTGAAGGACAAAAGGATTCTGTTCCCTTTTCGAGGTATGCTTACTAGTTCCGTAAATTCCAAAGAGTCTCTTCCTGGAATCTATTTGTTTACAAAGTAGACAGAGCTTTGTGGGGTTGTTTTCTTTTTTTCTTTTTCCAATTATATAAGCAAGTTGTACTATTTTTTTTTTTTTAAGTCAGGAGAACATGAGAAAACACAAAAAGGTCATTTTAAATCACTTGTACATGTACTACTGAGATAACCACTGCAAAATTGAGGTTGATTTTCCTGCTAGATTTAATGTAATTGTTCTGCATAGTTGGATTGTGCTGGATGTTTTAACTTGCTTATAGTCACACAAATAATAAGTGGGCTATTTACTACTTGAACCCAAAGTTTAGTGAAACCCTTGTTCTGCACACCCTTCCCTACCCAACACCCCCAAAACCTCCTAGAGACATGGTAGGCTTCTCCTGCCCAAGCCTGCTTCCTCCTGCTGCCTCAGCCTCTGTGGACCTGGACAATGCATGCTCTACTTTCCAATGCTGACTGTGAATGGCCCCGCATTCTCATTATTTCTCCCACTCCAGGGATTCTCCTGAGTTCCTATAACAACCTGGCCAGACTCCATCTCATTTGCCACGGTCATCAAAGGGAGCACTTCTGCCAAAAGAATGAGCTCCAATAAGCTCTAATCTTGGCAAAGGGCATAGGTGAGGGAGAATTAAACCCAAAGTTCCTGGAGACTAACATGAGGATCCAGGACTAAAGCAGGAACCTAGAATGGGTGCTCTAGGATGGCTTTGGCCTTGCTACGCCTCTGTCCAGGTTGGGGACTGGGGCTTCAGGCCCCATGGAATAGGCAAGGCCCCAGGCTCCCTGTCTGGAGAAGTCCCTGAAACTGGCTGTTCTGGGAACTGAAAAGGGGGCCCAGATCACGGAGACTTGGAGACTGGGAGGAGGATCTCCCTGCTCTGCACATCCCTCTCCTGCTGCTATATTGTGAGGCTTAGCAGAAGGGTCTGGACATTTGAGGAGGAGGAGCACTGAAAGTTGGGTGCAGAGTGAGCTTTGCCAGCAGTTTTTTCAACCAGAACCAAACCAGCAGGCAGCCCCTAAATGCAAAAGTTGTGAGGGGCACAGCTGGCCCAGAGAGAAAGCTGTGGACCCTAACTGGAGCCCTGGACCAGGAGTATTATGGCCCATGCTGCTGCTTCCCAGACCACCTCCCTCACCAGTCTGCCTATTGCAAAGGGTCACCATGAAGTCTCTGCTCATATTTGACACAGGCATGGAGTCCAGAAGGTCCTCAGCAAATGCATTATCTGGAAAGTCTGGGAGAACAGAATTTTTTTTTTTTTTGTACCGGGGATCGAACTTGGGACCTTGCGCTTGTGTGGCAGGCAGCTAAAGCCCCGGCCCTGGGAGTAAGACAATTTGAACAGAAATGAATCCCAACTCTTCTAGGCTTACCCCAAGGTACCAAAGTGTGAGAGGTAGGAAGGAAGCAAAGGGACAGATTTGGAGGTTACAGTGGTGGAGGGGGATGGGAACAGAGGGGCACAGGAAGGAAAGGGCC